GTCAGAAAAGCAGGGTGTGCCTGCCTTCCCACCACCTATTATAGGTGTTTGTTCTGTTCCTTCCAACCTCCTCATCTTTGCTTTCAGAGACCCCATATACCCTGAGAAGCAGGAATTGGGATGGAACAGCTGTTTTTGGGCCAAGGTTTTGGACAGCCTGGGAAGAGATAAGCCAGAGGCACCAACATCTTTGGGACTCTGAGTGAATGATTAAGACCACGTGTGCCAGGTGAGCAGGACCACAGCCATACATCAGCTTCAGGTATTGGTTCAAGCAGATGCCATGAGTGGTTGCACTTTTGAGTTACAAAGGAGAAGATACCCATTTGATGAAACAGGTGTTGATTGGGCGCCCATTATGGTGCAAGGCACTAACCTTGCTGGGAATCCGGGGTGGGGGGCGGAGGGGCAGCTACAGTGAAGACCCCCACCGCCGTTCTTGAGGAACCCACAGTACAGGCATAGGGAGAACAGAAGAACCTGAAGACCCACCAGCCATGAAGAGATTTCAAGAAAGTGGTCTGTTGGGGAGGAGATGAACGCAAGGCCATGGAAGACAGGAGTTCCTCTCCTTGATGCCTGGCCTATGAAGAGCCATTGCAGTTGCTGATGGGTACCAGTCTTTCTCCTCACAACTCCTGTCTTTTGGGGTCTTTGTGAATTCTCAAGATACTCTCTTTTTCCTAATCTAACTTGCACAAAACCTGAGTGCAGCCTGGAACCTTGCTTTTAGGAAGAAAACAATGGAAGCGACCAAAAAATAAATAAAATATCTTAATGAAGTGCAAAGTAGTATTTTTATGACAAAAGCATTTTCACGGTAAGTATCTTAACATCGAACTTTTGTGTACTTGGAGGGGTTATTTATATACATTTTTCCCCCCTTTCAGTGGGAGGGTATGGGTTCAAAACCTGGCTCTGCCTTTTATTATCTGTGTGACATGGGTAAGTCTCACTTAATGTCTCTGGGTCTTTGACTAATCTATACAAAGAGAAGACTCGAGTAGATACAGAAGACTCGAGTACATACAGAATTCCTTTTAGCTAGAGATACTTTGACCCCGTAGTGAAAGACGATGACCAGAGACCTTAGCTGGTACTGGCCTCATGGTGCCTGGATAGCCACTGCTCCCCTGGATTTTCTTCAGTTGCAGATATTCCTGTACCCTCAATGCAAACATCTTATGGAATGATGAGTGGCTCCTGCCTGGTTCCCACCTAGCTTAATTTGATGCTCCATGACATTAGTCTTGGGCTACTGGTCACAAGATGTTGACATAAGACTTCCCTCAACAGTGTGGCTCTTCCTTCAGTATGATATGAATATTTCAGAATGTGCATAAATAGGGACTCATCTCACTAATTATAAAAGAGAAGAACTACCCAAACACCCCAGTGACCCAATTTTGGAATACAGAGGAAAAACACATTACTTCTCCCTCCCCCACAAAGGCCTTTAATGCCTCTCAAAAAATCCTTCTATTATGCTAAAAGTAAACTGGGGTTGTCCTTAGGCAGCCTACGCCATGCATCTGATTAAGGAATGTATGCCTCTTTTAAGTTAATGAACCATCCATTCCAGTGGGTTTCACTGTCTTACTTTGGTTAAATGTCTTTAGTTCTATGTTCTAGCCCCTCAGTGCAAGCTGCTGCAGAGTCTGGACACCCAGCATTGGGGTCTGGGTTCAGTATGCTCCCTAGTGTCAAAGAGCCGCTGAGTGGAGGATTCTCGAGGAATTGAGCACCAGGAGAACACTGGCTGTCCTTCACCACTTCCTTGGTTGGCTTCATATGGAGTTTCAAGCTTTTATCCACTGCACTGATTAGTGAGCCACCACGATCCTCAGAATCCTGGCAGACATAGGTGTTACACAGGTCATCTGTTTCTACAGCACTGAGTAGGTTGGAGGTTCTCAGGGGTGCATCCCACCTGACTGTCTTGGAGCAGACTGGCTTGTGAGACTTCAGAAGAACATATTGGGTGCTCCAAGGCTCCTTTTATGGAATTTGCTTTCTTTCTGTCTCGTCTAGGGGCCTTTGTCTTCTTTTTGAGGGACCAGTTTTTCAACGTGTTCCATTTCCTTAACCACATACTAGGCTGAAGAGTTAAGGACTGCATTTGAGAAGACCATTCTACACTGTCTTTCTTTAATAGAAAGTTGGTGGGTGCTGGTTGATCCTACGAAAGGGTTGACTATCCCAGAAAAAGGGCTGCAGAAGACTGGAGAGAGTTCTCCCTGTTTCCTTAGGGTTGAAAAAGTACAGTCAACTGATGAAGAGGTTTCTGTGGGAAGAGACTGAATGCTGAGAAGTCTGGGGAAAAGCGCTGACATGAGAGGTCACCAACGAACCCGATGGCAAAGTGCCTGGTGATGACAAACTAGAATAGCTAGTTCTTGAGTAAACTTTTAACCGTGATGGAGTAACAGGCAACATGTTTTCTGCATTTTGATTTGAGGCATTACTCTTACCCACCTCAGTCCCCATAATGAAACTCTGATTAATCAGTTTTTTGACCTTCTACTTGCAAAGAGTGGTGGCGCTTGAGATAATCCTCATCTCCAAGAGAGAGGCTAACATCACAGCTTGTCTTGTGTATGTTCATTGGAGAAACCCCCGTAGGATAAGTGAGCTTGTAGTCTAGGTAGTCTGTGTTTGGCTCTGAGCAGCACCTGTGCTTTTGCAGACTTCTGAGTCCAAGGGTTGTGTTTGATGGGGAGTATCCAGAGTGATGAGGGCCAAGGGTCTGGCTTTTAGAATGATCTTGCAATGAAATGTTACTGGGATGCCACAGAAGTGGCCACAGGTTTGGATTTGAAGGGAGGTCTTCACTGGAGTACCTCCATGCCTAAGAAGGCTTTTTCCCTCATGTTTTGGTTTGTGGAATCTTTCTTCTCCCCTTCAGTCTGAGTGACTAAGCCCTTCTTGTGAGGGCTGGGGCTGTTTGTGACTATCTTCATCTCGGTGGGAGAGAATAGCATCACAGGTGGACTTGTGGAGCTTCTTCTGATAGAACTCCCTGAGATAGGTAAGCTTGGAAGCCAGATAGTGTATACTGGGCTCAGAACAATGCTTGTGTCTCCTCCAGTTTTTCAGAGAATACTGCAGCTGTGGAGAAGTAACCAAGTGTGTTGTGCCAAGTGGCACGTTCTTGGAGCAGTAGTGTGCTGAACCCTTACTGCAGGATGCCACCGGCATACTCAGTGGCTTGGATTTAGAACGGTGCTTCAGTTGAATTTCTTCATTTTTAGGTGGTCCAAGTCAATCTCACTCAGAGTGAAAACGCCGTCTGAGTCAGGTTGGTCCAAATCACAGTCACTCAGTATTAAGTCTCTGTGTTACAGCTTACCTGACCCAGCTTTTTTAGCAGATCCTGCAAGGAGTCAGCTCATTTTCTAAGCTGTCATAAGAAGAGTCATTCATTTGGAAGCCAGACATACATCTTCTTATTTGATTTTTGTTTCCTGAAGCACTTTCCAAACTTTTTCTCAGAAGGGTAACTTAAAATCTTTTGCATTTTAGTTGAAGAATTAGGACATTTTGGTATTATTTTGGCAGACACCCCTCTAGCCCTCTGCCTATTTGAGCTTTTGATTAAATGGGTTTGCCTCTTAACAAGATTTTCTCAGTGTAAAAAATGAGTCATAAGGCAAAGAAAAAATAGAAAACAGAAGGTTGATCATGCCAGAAGTGTCTAGGCCCTGCCTATGTCATCTCAACCTTTTGAAGGAGATGTTAACAGGTAAATATGTCCAGCCAAGCTTTATGGGGAAATGGTAACTGGGGGTGTAGGCAAAACTATCCTGTGGTTTTATTAGCTCAAGAAGGACCTTGGAGAGAATCTCGTTAAGATACTTCATTTTACAGATGAAACTAAGGTGCAGAGAGAATGAATGAATCATCTTAGGTCACAGAGCATATGAATGTCCTATACAAGATTAATGAGAAGCTAGGTCTACAGACTCAAATTCAGTGCTTTTCCTGACATATCATGCTGCTTACCTACTTCTCCCTTGCGAAAAGAAAAGATAAACAGGCCCTGCCATTAATAACTCCTTTGGGGGAGGGCTATGTCTTCTAGTTTTCATGTATACTCCTGAACACCACCTCAGTAGGAACATAACTGGTGAATAAATTAAGGGTCTTCTGAAAATGTTGGTGGTCTGGGCTTCCCTCAGTCCCATCCTAGTTTCCCCTGCCTTTGTCTAGTGTTTGGCCCCTTTGGAAGTCTCAGAGCCACTATGCTTTCAGCAGCTTGCAATCCCCCTTGATGGAAGGGCAGCTGGCTGATATAAGGTTATTTTTTTGGGAAAAAAATACAATGATTCGTGATAACCGAGGCATTGTCTCTGTCACAACTGGCTGAAGTGTCTCTCAAGAAGTGATTTCTTCCCCAAATATCCTCCCATAATTTTAGATAATAAATTGGACAAGGAGAGAGATCTATAGAAAAAGCAAGAAGGAGATGGCGTTTTTCGTAGTCTGTGCACCTTGTTTGACATATGCCTTCCCAATCTCACAAAAATGCACAGAGTAGGAAAAAAAGGAACAGTACATGTATCTTGCATTAAAGCAGTTTAGGCTTGATATAGCAAGAAGCTTACTCATACTTACTGCTGTATGGAAGTGTAGTGAGTTGTCTTCGGAGACAATGGGTTTCATCTTACCAGAGGTCTTTGAGCAAAAACTAAATAAACTTGTCAGGGAGGAGTCTTTTTCTAGTATAGGTTGGCACTGAGGTCTCTACTGACTCAGAGATTCTGTGATCTTTTGGTGATGCTAAGCAATGTTGGCAAATGTGGACTATATAACATAATGAAGATTTTTCTTTCAAAAGCCAAATTATGTCAAAACCATGGCAATGATGAATCTTTAAAAATATTTCATGAAATTATTTAATATCTTTTAAAGTGCTAACAACATAAAGAAGGATTTACATATGTCTCAACAATTCATTCAGAAATTTGGGTATGTGTTACAGGATGGATTGCAAACCCACCAGTGAAGTTAGTACCATAATTCCCACCGAAATATGAAGAAGGCATTTCTGGATGAACTGAAAGCTGAAAACATCAAAGCATTTTTATAGTAAGCATATTTTTAAAAATTAATATTCAGCATGTTATTGATTGGAATAGTTCTTTCTAGAAATGTCCCTATCTTGAATTACTGATTTAAAAAGAAACTTGTCATTTAAATGCTTGCATACGTGTTGAATTATCTTGTAATGGTGTGATATCTTGCCTGGCTAGGAAATACTATTAGTTGTATTTCATGATTTTTACCTTTCTGTGCTTCTGTTTGAGAACTCAATGGAGCACAGTTTGATGATGGGTTGAAACAAAATGGCAGTAAGGATGGGAGATGGAGATACTTTATCACAAAAAAATAGAGACTTATTCAGTGTGATAGGTGAAAAGAATGCTAGATTTGGAATTGGAGGACCTGGGTGTGAATCCCTGCTCTTTCATTTACTATGTGTTTGACTTTGGGCAAGATGTTTAACCTTTCTGGGCCTTGGCTTCCTTCTCTATAACATACTAGTTACCCTCTAAATCATCCTCTGCTTAGAAAGCACTGATGTCTTTAGTATTTTGAAAAATTAATGATATAACATTCTTGCTATAAATAAATAGCATTATTATAGATTACCAAATTAGGAGGGTGTGTGTGTGTGTGTGTGTGTGTGTGTGTGTGTGTGTGTGTGTTATGTTGTTACCCACCCACTCCTACAATGTAAGCACCTTAAGAGCAAAGATTACTTTTTGGCTTATCCTCAGTATCTAACACAGAACATTGAATATGGCAGGTACTTTATAAATATTTATTAAATTAAAATGGATATGTGATTATATATGTATACGTAAGTAAAATATTTGAAGTAGGAACCAAATTAATCAACGTGCTTGGAGAAAATTAGTTTGGCTGTACTATACAGGTTGCATTGGAGATGAGAGAGACTAGAGAAAGGGAGCCAAGTTTAAAGGGCTGTTTTAGTAAAAGATATTATAAAAACAAGATTTTTTTTTGTAAGGTTAAGAAAAATCCAACATGAGAAACATGCCCTCCTCCCTTTTAAAATCATGTAATTCATTTTGACACATTTAATCATCCTCTGACCGGGTAGAATGAGATATTGATAAAGAACCTTTTTTTCATGTTTTCTTCCTACAGGTATTTTCATTTTCTTGTTACTAGTTGAATTTAAGTATTGTAAAACTTAATTGTGCAGAGTTCTATTGGAAAAAGTTAACTAATGTAAAAAAATAGCATGTGGTTTACTTTTATGTGTATGTCTTGTTTCCCCTTTAAATTGTAAGCTCTGTGATGACACTTACCCTGTATTGAATTTTTTTCTAAATTCTCCCCAACTTTAACACAGTACCTTTTACATAGTAATAATTCAACAACTGTTTCTTCAAATAGAAAATATTGGTAGAAAAAATGGCTGAGTATTTTTTTTTCATTCCTCATTCTCATCCATTGTTGAGAAAAGTATCCTACCATTTAAAAATTCTAAATCAGAAACCTTTCATGGGAAACTTTAGGGGAAACATTTAACTTTAACTTTAGGGAAACATTTTATTTCTTTTAGTGTATAGGAGATCAATCAATTCAATCTTTGTCCTTTGTAGGGGCATGTGAAAGAACATTGGCTTGTTCCACCTATCACCTTATCTTTGAAGACCATGTATTTGAAAAGTTAGAAGCAGTTATTGATGAGGAGAATGACATGCTTGATCTGGCCTATGGACTAACATACACGTAAGATTTTGGGACTATTATAGGTCTGAATAAAAGTTAAGGGGGTATAAAATCATTTATTTCCAAGGCTAGACACATGAAAATAAGATCTCTTTCACCTAACCCATTATACTTACAGTTTAAGTAGGATGATGCTATACATTTGGCATTTCTGTTGGCTAAATTAGAATCAAATTTATTTGTTAATGGTTATCAGTTTTAGATTTCTTAGTATGGTAAATTTTCATTAATTGAAGTCATTTATTTGGAGTTTTGTGATAATTTATTTTGACTGGATTTATATACATACAGACATACAGACATAGATATGTACACATACACAGAAATACACACACATATTGTATTATGCTTTCTGTCTACTTATATCTGTATATAAGTGTACAGTATAGAATGAACAAAGTAATGGGGCAAATTTGAACTGAGAGAGTACTTATGACTTTTTAAGGAACATGCTGATAACTGTAAGTAATTTTTATCTGTTCAAAAATCTCTATCACACAACACTTTATCAGCAAAGTTATTTTTCATTTCAGTCAGAATTGTAGTTCTACAAAGTTTTAGGATGCATATCGTTAATGAAGTTTTACATAATGTTTATATATGTGACTGTATTCATAGATCACCTTTTTTCAAAGAAAAATTAGGAATAGATGTGGTACAAAGAAACAATTTAAAGAAAGAACATCTTAATCCCTTCTTGTTAGGAAGTGAGACAAGATCACTGGTTAACAGTGGGAATCATCTTTTTTCTTTAGGATTTCAAAAAAAAAGCAGTGCTCCTATGGTTGTTATATCCTCTATGTCTTCAGAAGCCATAATAACCACCAAATCTTTCTTCTATAAGCAAAATATTTAGAGAATACTGAAGCCATGGTGCTAAGTTGTTTCTGAATATTTTCTAATTCACATAGTAATAAGTAATTCCCAATCATCTCTGCCTGGGCAAGACCCAGTTATCATGAGAGTGCTTCAGCAGGTCAGATAGCAGTGCCCAGGTGTCTGAAGGACACAGTGACAGGGAAGAATGCTGCTAACCTCTGAAGATGCAATCCCTCAGACTAAAGGTAGGTTGGTCAATTGTTTTAGAGGGGGTGGTACACTCAAAATTCTAAATTGATTTTAGAATTGTACCAATTCTCAATTCCAACAACAGTGTGTTAGTGTGTCCACCTTTTTGCAGCCTTTTGGATATTGATTATTTCTGTTAAAGACAGCATCTTTCATTCCTGTTCAATTACTTCTTGGTTCTGTCATCATTCCAGCTTAGGGAAATCTTTTTGAATATTAGTTTGCCATTCATTGTATTAGTCTCTTGCTCCCAGCTTTGTGTCATCTGCCATTGGGTAAGCTGGCTTAGGCTTTCATCCATATCATTGGTACAGGCCAGCCAGGCCTAAGTCAGTGAGAAAATCCATTAGAGTAAGGCACAGAGTGGAATAAAAGAGCCAGGGAAAATATCCCTCGGGAAAACCCAAATACAGCCTCTGGTTGATGTGATTGACTGGGAAAGTGAACACAGGCAGAAGGCAGAGAGTAAGAGCTGGATGTGCTTTAGGAAAAATAAGGGAACCTAGCAGGTAACGCAATCGTACTGAGTGAAATGAAGTTTGTGGTAAACCAGAGGCCCAAAGAAACAGATCTGCAAAAGTTGGAAGAAAAGATCCAGTGGGAAAAATAACCCCCAAATATTTCCCTGTCTCTGCCACTCTCTTTCCTCATTAGCCCCCACCAACTCTAAAAGGAAAGGTTCTGAAGCCCTGCCTCATACATTTTCACTTCCCCTTCCCATTCTCTTTACTTGCATTGATTTTCAAGTCTGGAGACAAAAGGGACTAGGATGGTAAACCTTTTTCTCACAGTGACCTTAGCTGCATATCCAAGACGGGATATGACACCAACGTGCCACTGTTGGCATGGGATTTTGTTGTTCATCCTTTCTCCTTGAAGAGGACCCATGACATCATGGAAGGAGCATGGACTTGGGGTTTGAGAATCCTCGTTCAGATCTCAGCTCTTAGAGTCACTGGCTATGTCATCTTGGCAGGCTTTTTTACCTTTATGAACCTCAGTTTCCTCATATGTAAAATGGAGATGATAATACTGGCATCACCTTTCCCCTAGAATTGTTTTGTCAGTCAAATAAGCTAAACTACGAAGAGTGCTTTGCAAACAAAACTTGACATAGATGGCAATGTACAGTGGCAAAGTTGAAATAACTCTGGATTTGGAGTGAGAGGACTTGGATCAAAATCCTGGCTCTGTCACTTAACCTTATCTGTATGTAGCACCTATAGGGTACCACCCAGCTCATATGTAGATTGCTTCCCCCCACACATACCCCCTAGGTTCACGGTACTTAGTTGGTCTACATTTGCTCAAAACCACAGTTCGCATGACCCCCCCAAAAAATGTATTTCCTGTTACTAGTCATCCAGAGGGTGCAGTTAATTCAAAGCAAAGGCATTTAAATATAGTTTTTAAAAAGTAGAGCTAGATCTTGATTAGTGTAGATAATGAAACTGTGAAGGGTTCCTACATTATTGAAATTCCCACTGTTCAAAGTTATAAATTATATGTGAAGTATAGCAATGAGTTCTGACCAAATGGAAATATGAAATTAAAATTATTAAAAATAAGTTGTGTATCTCTTTATTAATATAATACAACAGCAAAGGATAAGGAAAATTTATTTCTGCTCCAAGTTTACTACAAAGTAATAGTTATGAAAAACAAAATTATAAAAATATTTAAAATTACTGAATATCATAACTACAGATAAGCCTATATTGATGACATAATAAAACATTATTATTTAAAATATTTTAGCAGGGCAGATTCAACAATCTTTTCTTTTAGTCTTCATACATACAACAATAGATGCAGAGAGCTTTATCCTGGGCTCCAAGAATCTGCATGCTCACATTATTACAAAGTGATGTAAGTCTATGTGGATGACCTGGAGCATTATCTCAAATCAGTAATGCCTTAAATTTTATGTTGTTGTTCTTAAAATATTTTTCAACAAACATCTGGGCTAAAGAAACTTGAAAATCAGTTTTCAAATCAGTTCTAGTCCCCCATGTTTTCTTATGTAACTACCGAAGACAAGAAGTGATCAATGGCTGTAATACCTCTGAGAAAGTGAGAATTTTGAGACTGATAAAGAAGCATTAGTTTTTCTTTATGATCCTCTTATGCATTATCTGCTAAAAAAAAGTAGATACTTTAAATTCCAGTTGAGGTTTTTCTTTCTTTGCAATATAAGTTCCAGAAGTTATACTTTTCTAGTATTTCTCTTTCATCTAAAAATTTATTGATCAGTCTATCCACTTTTTCAATTATTTTCTTTAAGAATCAGGATATTTGGCTCATGCATCCTCATCTGCCTTGGATGCCTCCCTGGTATTTTTACCATTGGGCAACTGAAGTGGCAGTGGTTAGAGCACAGGCCTGGAGTCAGAATGACTCATCTTCCTGAGTTCAAATCCAGCCTCACACACTTCCTGGCTTTGGGACTGTGGCCAAGTCACTTAAACTTAATCCTGTTTGCCTTAGTTTACTTATCAGTAAAATTAGCTGGAAAAGGAAACATGGCAAACCACTCAGTATCTTTGTCAAGAAAACCTCAAATGGGGTCATGAAGAGTTGGACACATCTGAAAAACAACTAGAAAACAACAACTGCATTCAGTTTTTCAATTGTTCAAGCAGTTAAACCAACCAACATTTGCAGTAAGTTTCTTCATAGTCTCCTTCTTTTAGATTTTCTTTAACTGCCTTAAATAAATTAGAAATTTTGTCTGAATGTCTGCTGTGCTGAGAGGAATTCGTATTTCGTTGTAATCTTCCATGTAGCTTACAGATGCTCCATTTCTTGCATTGTGACACTTTTGTCATTTGTAGTTGTTTGTAAATAATGAAAAGCTGATACAACTTTGCCTTTTTTTATTTCATCTTTTTAAATGTTTTTATAATATTCCATACAGCAGATTGAGTCATTCCATCTCATCCTGTTATAGTGTTGTCATGACCACATTCATGCTATTTAATTACATCAGATTTTTGTTCTGATGTAATAACAGAGCCTCTTCTTTTTTTGCACTGGTAATGTTTCCATCTGAACTATTCTTTCTTTTTTCCAGTTTATTAAAGTCTTCAAAAAATTTAATACAGCTGTTGGTGATATGGTAGACAGCAGCGTAACACATCTACATGTGGTAATAAACATGTGCTACAGTTACCCAAAAATAACATTCAGAGATTTTCTAGGTATAAAGTGAAAGATTTATTATGTTCTCGTGAGAAGCGGGCCTGCTTCATACGTAGTCCGAGCGAAGCGAAGCGAGGCGAGGCACAAAGGTCAGAACAAAGGTTATATAGTCCTAATGCAGAGACACCCACCCACCACTGGCTGTAAATTCCCATTGGACAGGAATTTCAGCCTTACAATCTAAAACGCGAAAATCTACCCCAGAAACAAGGAATCTCATTATAATACTACCAATCCTAGCTGTTTTATCCTTATTTAGCATTAGCCATTACCTAATAACTAATGTAACAGTACAGATCATGTGTTTTCTAGGAACTTGAAACTTGGGCCTATTCATGCTAGCGTAACCAACCTTGAGTTTGTAACAGTCTACAAAACTTTTACACTCAGTCCATCTGAGAGATCTCACACTGTTTACATTGTCTCACTCAGTCCCTCCACTTTTATCTTACTGAGAGCTCTTCAAAATTTTGTAACATCATCTCACACACTTTATCTAACTCTCCTTCATTCCTGTCAGGATCATCCTGTTCTGATGCTGCAATAGGTACCCAATCCTGTCCCTGCAAAAGCAACATTCTAGTATTATCAGAGACAGTAGGAATCATTTTAGCAATGCTATCTTTTACTAACTTAGTAACTAATTGAATTATACAAGGTATGCATATAGGAAGTAAAATAATCCCACTAAAAGCTATTAGCACAAACCACATGAGTTGTTTCCACCTACC